ACTCATATGAACTCTGGAAGATAGGACATTGTCAAACTGTCAAATCTCTGGTGTAGAGACCTGCAGTATGGGGTATATTTTGCATGTCTCTATGGAGACGTTAAAGTTTTTTCCTAGAATGTTGCGCACTGCAGATGGTATTCAAAATCTATCTGAGAGAAGCAGGTTTACCTATGACTTATGGTGGAAGGAATTAGAAAAAAAAATTAAGCGATAATAAATGTGACATAATCAATATTTTGGTAAAATGTCTTGTTCAGACAATTTTTTTTTTACTCTCATTAAAATAACTCATCATTCTCAATAGAAAGCCACAAGGTTCAGTTCTGCGACCCTTGCTCTTCATCCTCTGTTTTTTGGTGTTTCAGATGGATAAAATGTAATAAAACATTTGCAACATCTTCTTTTGCATATTCATGTTGTTCATCATTAATAATCACTTGATACTTTGGGACATGTAGTGGGAGTAAATAAAAGGCAGTCTGGTCTTCTGTCCACAGCCTCAGGTGAAACTGAGTGAGATGCAGGTACTGCTCCTACTCACAAACGAAATTTTAACTGCAAAACAATTTTTTATTTTTACATTATGAATTCTGAACCAAATATTACAATTGTCACTATTGGTGGGTATGTGGAAGTTGAAAAGTATAAATATGTGTATTTCTTTGCAGTGTTTTTGGTTTATATTGTTATCATCTGCAGTAATGGCACTATTGTATGTCTCATTTGGATGCACCAAAACCTCCATGAACCAATGTACATTTTCATTGCTGCTTTGCTGTGTAACTCTATTCTCTTCAGCACTGTCATCTACCCCAAGATGATGATCGATGTTCTGTCTGAAAAGCAGGTTGTAACATATTCTGCTTGTCTTTTTCAGTGCTTCTTGTATTATTCTCTGAATGGCTCTGAATTTCTGCTTTTGTCAGTCATGGCCTATGACCGATATGTGTCTATATGTAAACCTTTGCAATATCCAAATATAATGAGGAAGAACATTGTGTGTTGCTTTTTAGTTTTAGCTTGGCTTATACCCACCATTCAAATAGGTGTTCCCAGTATACTATTGGTTAACACCAAATTATGTTATCCAACATTGAAGGGAATATACTGTAATAATTTAATCTATAAATTACACTGTAGTATGTCTAGAGCAATGTCTATTTATGGAGTAGTTATACTGATCAATGTTATAATCTTGCCTGTGTTTTTTATTCTGTTCACGTACGCCAAAATATTTGTGATCACTTATAGAAGCTGTAAAGAAGTGAGGAAGAAGGCAGCAGAGACATGCTTACCTCATCTGTTTGTTTTGATCAATTTTTCCTGTTTGATAACATACGATGTGGTCACAGTGAGGCTGGAATTTGACATGCCAAAGACTGTTCGACTGATCATGACGTTACAAGTGGTGCTGTATCACCCGCTGATCAATCCCATCATATATGGGCTCAAAATGAAGGAAATCTCCAAGCATTTAAAAAGACTATTTACCAAGGAAAATGTCAGAATGATTGAGCAATAGTTACAGGTTAAAAACACATAAATATAATCAGTTCAGTTGTGAGGATAAATGTTCAGAATGTCCTGGTGTTTGTAGACAAACCAAATTAAATGAAGTCATAACTGCATGTGGTAGTAATGTTACTTATTGAAAGAGCAGTTTGAACTATGGCAAATATCAACTTACATACACAATAAACTACTAGAGTAATAAAATGTCCATGGCACTTTTAACTGAATAAACCAGATAACTCTGTAGTTTAGACCTCTAAAAACATGTTCTGAAAAGTATCAGATTCTTAATTTAGCAGTTCACAGCTATAACTTCTCTTATTTGTGGAGACTTTTGGAAGTGTTTAAAATGAATCTTGATTTTAAATGATTCATGCAAATTTAATGAAAATCACATAATCTTGCATATAGTCGTTTCACAAGAATTATCCAAAAGGAATTGTATCATTTCTGTTAATAATTTGTTTACGGAATTCTTTATTACAACAAGAATCTGTTTTCTATTTCTAATTTTAGTATTAGAATACTGTGAACCAACAAAAGATGAATATGATCTCGAAAAATGGGAGCATGACGCTCAGTTAAAGATCTTATTGTAATTTCTCATTGTAACAGATTTTTTTCTCATGTATTTGAACAAAATGTGTCTTGCCCCTGTCCAAATCTATTGTATAAGCAGCTCTTGACGGGAAAATAAATCAGCTACATTCCGTCTGCCTCTAATTATAAAGTTTTTTAATGTATAATAATGAAACAAGGAAATGCTAAGTTATTATCATTGTGACAGAAAAACTCCACTCTGGTCACGGAAAGTTGTGAAAAGTGCTTATAAAATTGGAATATATACATTAAGTGAGGAATAACTTTGGGCCACTGCAAACTATTTAAAGTGAACTCGTTCTTTTCATCATGTTTTGAAGAGAGTAAAAATCTGGTTCAAAGCCTTAAATATAAACTAAAAAATGGTGTGGAAGTTTCTGAACTAAGAACTAAGGGCTAGAGATCGAATGAAGCAGACCTGGGTGTAGACCAAACTGACAGAGAGTGCACAGGGTTTCAAAGAGGTGCAAAGACAATATTTTTCCATTAACTGCCATTATTTCATGCACTTAAAATGAGGGTGCAAAGACTTTTAAATGAGGTTGCAATGCACCCTTTAGCACCCCTGTAGACCTGAGCCTGCCAAGAAGGCCAAAGTTTCTGTGAGTTTGAATTTTCTTCTTAGATTGTTAAGGAATATTCAGTTGCACAGCCGTACAAAGTGTGCCTCCAACTCTGTCCTAGTTGACATTTCTTTTTGACCATCATTTTCTGATAAAATAAATGAACTCTTGCATTAGAGACCTCCAGTGTCTTCTGTTCTCATTAACATCATCTCACCTCATTTGTTTTTTTACTTGAAATCAGCCATGTTTGTTTTGATAAATAGGGGCTATGTGTCCTCTGACTGGTTTGTCTGTCTATCAACTTCATACTTGGGAAGATAAGACATTGACAGATTGTCAAATCTCTGGTGTAGAGACCTGCAGTATCGGGTATTTTGCATGTCTCTATGGAGATGTTACGGTTTTTCCTGGAATGTTGCACACTGCAGATGGTATTCAAAATCTATCTGAAACAAGCAGGTTTACTCATGGTGGATAGAATTTGAAAAAAAGAAGTGATAATAAACAATAAACATGGCATAATCAATATTTGGGTAAAATGTCTTGTTCAGATTTAATTTTTTTACTCCCATCAACCACATAGATAGTTTTAGAAAAGTAATCGTCCATATAACGATACCAATGTGTGGGTGGAGTGCCTGGATAAGAGGCCAAGGCACTCTGATCAAATTGTTCCATATATAAGTTCACAATGATAGGAGAGACGGGCGAGCCCATTGCACAGCCGTGGTTTTGTAGAAGTAGAAGTTTCTGTAGAAGTTTCCTCTGAACTGGAAGTAGGTGGTATTTAAACAAATTTCCAGCAGCTGGCAGATTTGATCAGGTGACAGTTTAGTTCTCTCTTCTAGCTTAATATCCTGCAGTTGTCACCTTCTTGCTGTCTCCACTGCTACTGATGTAGGGATACAAGTGAAAAGAGAGGTCACATCAAAGAAAACCATTGTCTCGTCCGAGTCAAACTGGAGATGCTTGATTTTATTCACAAATGTGTCTGTGTTAGTCAGGAGGCATCCGGAACAGATGCCCAAACCACGTCAGCTGGCTCCTCAATATGGAGGAGCAGCGTCTCTACTCAGAGCTCCTCCTGTGTGAATGAGCTCCTCACCCAACTCTATGGTAGTGCCCCACCTCCTTGAGCAGGAAACTCATTTCGTCCGCTTGTATCCGCGATCTTGTCCTTTCAGTCATTACCAAGAGCTCATGACCATAGATGAGGGCAGCAACAAAGATGGACCGATAAATCAAGAGCTTCACCTTTTGGCTCAGCTCCCTCTTCCCAACAGTTCGATACAGTGACCGCCTCACTGCCGATGCAGCATTGATCCGAATGTCAATCTCACGCTCCGTCATCCCCTCACTCGAGAACAAGACCCAGAGATACCTGAACTCCTCCACTTGAGGCAGGGACTCTCTACCCACATGGAGATGGCAAACCACCATTTTCCTGTCAGGACCATGGCCTTGGATTTGGAGGAGATGATCTTCAGTCCAGCCGCTTCACACTCGGCTGCAAACCTCCTCAGTGCACATTGCAGGTCCTGGTTTGATGAAGCCAACAGGACAACATCAGAGATGAAATCCCGTGGTCCCCAAACTGGACCCCCTCCAGTCCCTGACTGCTCCTAGAAATTCTGTCCATAAATACAATGAACTGGTGACAAAGGGCAGCCCTGGAGGAGTCATGCATCGGGAACATGTCTGACTTACTGTCGGCAATGCGAACACAGCTCCTTCTCCAGTCATACAGGGACCGGACAACCTTTAGGAAAGGTTCTGGCTACAGCAGTACTAATGAATGAACATTGGCAACCATAGCTGAACCTTTATTTTTAACATTTTGACCTCACAGCACACTACACTTTTACATTAATTAATTTATAGGTTATGAGATTTTGTATCTCGGCAAATTTCATTGTGGAACCCTTTTGACACACCATGCCAAACTAAACTTTTCCTCTTTTCCTGATATTCTTACAAATGTTTTCTTAACATTTTAACTGGTGTTTTGATTGAAAAAAAATAAAATAAATCTAATAATCCATCCAGTTAAAGATTTTCCAAAATATGGTAAAGTATATTGTTCTGGGAGGAGGAAGCATAATGAAAACCTTTAACTGTAACAATCTGCTCTTGCATATTCATGTGGTTCATTATTAATAATCACTTGATACATTGGGACCTGTGGTGGGAGTAAATATAAAGGCAGTCTGGTCTTCTGTCCCCAGCCTCAGGTGAAACTGTGTGCTGATGAGAGCTCATGTGTGCTGCAGGTGTTGCTCCTTACATTGACATTTAAACTGCAAATTTTATTTTTACACAATGAATTCTGAAACAAATGTTACAATTGTCACTATTGGTGGATATGTGGAAGTTGAAAAGTTTAAATTTGCTTATTTCTTTACAATGTTTTTGGTTTATATTGTTATCATCTGCAGTAATGCCACTATTGTATGTCTCATTTGGATGCACCAAAACCTCCATGAACCAATGTACATTTTCATTGCTGCTTTGCTGTGTAACTCTATTCTCTTCAGCACTGTCATCTACCCCAAGATAATGATCGATGTTCTGTCTGAAAAGCAGGTTGTAACATATTCTGCCTGTATCGTTCAGTGCTTCTTGTATTATTCTCTGAATGGTTCTGAATTTCTGCTTTTGTCAGTCATGGCCTATGACCGATATGTGTCTATATGTAAACCTTTGCAATATCCAAATATAATGAGGAAGAACATTGTGTGTTGCTTTTTAGTTTTAGCTTGGTTTATACCCAGCATTCAAATATCTGTTCCCAATATACTAATTGCTAACACCAAATTATGTTATCCAACTTTGAAGGGAATATACTGTAATAATTTAATTTATAAATTACACTGTAGTATGTCTAGAGCAATGTCTATTTATGGAGTGGTTGTATTAATTAATGTATCAATCTTGCCTGTGTTTTTTATTCTGTTCACGTACGCCAAAATATTTGTGATCACTTATAGAAGCTGTAAAGAAGTGAGGAAGAAGGCAGCAGAGACATGCTTACCTCATCTGTTTGTTTTGATCAATTTTTCCTGTTTGTTGACTTACGATGTGGTCACAGTGAAGCTAGAATTTGACATGCCAAAGACTGTTCGACTGATCATGACCTTACAAGTGGTGCTGTATCACCCGCTGGTCAATCCCATCATATATGGGCTCAAAATGAAGGAAATCTCCAAGCATTTAAAAAGACTATTTACCAAGGAAAATGTAAAAATGATTGAGCAATAGTTACAGGTTAAAAATGAGTAAATATAATCAGTTCAGTTGTGAGGACAAATGTTCAGAATGTCCTGGTGTTTGTAGACAAACCAAATTAAAAGAAGTGATTATTGCATGTGGGAGTAATGTTATTTATTGAAATTACAATTTGAACTGTGGCAATTATCAACTTACATACACAATAAACTACTAGAGTAATAAAATGTCCATGGCACTTTTAACTGAATAAACCAGATAACTCTGTAGTTTAGACCTCTAAAAACATGTTCTGAAAAGTTCTTATTTGTGGAGGCTTTTGGATGTGTTTAAAATGAATCTTGATTTTAAATGATTCATGCAAATGTAATGAAAATCACATAATCTTGCATATAGTCGTTTCACAAGAATTATCCAAAAGGAATTGTATCATTTCTGTTAATAATTACTTTACTGAATTCTTTATTACAACAAGAATCTGTTTTCTATTTCTAATTTTATTATTAAAATACTGTGAACCAAAAAAGGCTAAAATGATCTCAAAAAAGGGAGCATGGTTAAAGATCTTATTGTAATTTCTCATGTAGAACTGCCGAATGCAACTTTTAACCCCTGTAACAGATGTTTTTCCATGTATTTGAACACAACGTGTCTTACCCCTGTACAAATCTATTGTATAAGCATAAATAAATCAGCTAGGTTCCGTCTGCAAACCATTCAAAGTGAACTCGTTCTGTTCATCATGATTTGAAGCAAGTAAAAATCTTTTACAGAGCCTTAAATATGAACTAAAGAATGGTGTGGTTTCTGATGTCAGTGTCTCATAATCTTGTAAATACTGTGCAAAGAAAGAGAATTAAGGTGTAGGCATCCCAAGAAGTAGGCTCAGGTGCACAGTACACTTGCATAGTCATACAAAGTGTGCCTCCAACTCTGTCCTAGTTGACATTTCTTTTTGACCCTCATATACTGATAAAATAAATGAATGCGTTAGAGAAACCCAGTGTCTTCTGTTGTCATTTATAGCCTGACAGACCATCATCTCACCCTCAAACCATCTACTATGTTATTTTTTTTGTATTTGTTTTTTTACTTGTAATCAGCCATGTTTATTTTGATATATAAGAAGAGCCATGCATTCTCTGATTGGTTAGTCCATCTATCAGTCATGGTCATACAAACTGTGGAAGATAAGACATTGTCATATTGTTAAATCTCTGCAGTAGGGGGGATTTACATGTCTCTATGGAGATGTTTCTGCTTCTCCTGGAATTTTGCGCACTGCAGATGGTATGAAGCAGGTTTATATGTGACTTATGGTGGATGGAATTTGAAAAAAAAAAAAGGAGATAAAAAATAATAAAAGCAACATAATCAATATTTGGGTAAGATGTCTTGTTCAGATTTATTTATTAAGATAATAACTCACCATTCTCAATGGGATGCCACAAGGTTCAGTTTTGGGACCCTTGCTCTTCATGCTGTAGTTTACATCCAAAACATCAGTGGTAATGGTGGATGTTGGTGCAGTAGGTAGTAGTTGGTAGTAGTAATAGTTGGTCCATAAGGGTAGAAAATATAATATTGATTAGTAGTTAAAAAGTGCATTGTTTTTATTAGTGTTTCACATGGATAAAGTGCGAAACTTGGGCGAAACTGTGTGCTTATGAGAGCTTATATGTGCTGCAGGTATTGCTCCTACTCACATATGACAATTTCACAGCTAATTTTATTTTTGAATTCTGCATCGTATGTTTATTACAATCTTATGATGAAGAGTCTGTTGCAGAGACCTGACTGAGTCTCATGTTTATACAGTACAGGCTGGGTTTGAACAACCAATAGTAGTGGACTGGAATACATTTCCACCTTCCACAGTGGTTGGTCTCTCTACCAGAGGCCTGGGAGCTTAAGAGTTCTGCACAGTATCTTTGCTGTTCCTAGTACCTTGTAGACGTCTGTTGTTTTTCCTCTCCACATACAAAATGTTCGCTGCAAACTCAGGATGATTTCTTAGACAGCCAAAGGTTATCTCGGTCCTTCCTGTGGATCAATCCTGCCCATCGCCTTCGCCTTTCACTATTTTTCAATTCCATTGGGAAGGGAAACAGTTTGAGCAGAGGTTTGCAGTCACACAGATCTGATTCCTTTTTGCATTTATGGAGTTCTCAAACTACTGAAGTCCATTTCTCGAGCCATTTTCCACTGTTAGGACATCCAACAACCACACAATTACAATGTCTGAATCCCATATGTAGCGGAGCGGTGTACTTTTCACGTGGACTTCCATATAGTAAAATTACCAACAACGCCACCTGGTAAAACCAGCACATGGTATTTCCCCAACAACTATAGGCACCCAGGTTAGCTCATAATGTCCCCACCAAGGCTGAGACACAGAAGAGCTTATTTTCCTGTAGCTCTGATGTGAGTGATGTAACCACATGAACACACTTGTGGCTGTGTCCATCGAGAATAAGAGGCTGATAAAAGTCCCCTCTACTGTCCCACTGTCCAGTTACTGTGCGCTCATAGGGACAATAATGGACTCGGACCCTAACACCACGCACTATATAACTCTAGATGGGTATGTGGCCATAGAACAATACAGGGCACTTTATTTTATCGTAATGTTTACAGCGTACATCATCGTGATCTGCAGTAACAGCACTATTGTCTGTCTCATTTGGATCCACAAAAACCTGCATGAGCCAATGTACTTTTTCATCGCTGCTTTGTTGTGTAACTCCATTCTTTACAGCACAGCCATCTACCCAAAAATGATGTTTGAAATTTTGTCCGAAAAACAGGAAGTGACTTATTCAGTGTGTCTTTTACAATATTTTTGCTTTTATGCTTTAATCGGGTCTGAATTTTTGTTGCTAACTGCGATGGCGTATGACCGGTACTTGGCTATCTGTAAACCTCTTCATTATTCAGCGACAATGAAGAAAGCAACAGTGAGCTTTCTAATAGTGTTTGCTTGGGTAATGCCAGCGTGCCAAGTGTCAGTACCAACAATTCTAAATCGTAATAAGCAACTTTGCAATGTCATTTTTCAAGGAATCATATGTAACAGCACTATTTACCGACTCCACTGTGCCAATGCAGGTTTTTTGAATATTTACGGCTTGCTAGTTTTGATTAATCTCTGTTTTTTCCCTGTAATTTTCGAATGCTTCACGTATGCGAGGATTTTTATAATCACGAATAGCAGAGGGGCAGAGGTGAGGAAGAAAGCTGTGCAAACCTGCTTACCACATTTACTGGTTCTGATCAATCTAACTTGTTCCGCGACGTACGATGTTCTGTTGGTTAGGATCCAAACTGTTTTTCCAAAGACAGTGCGTTTAATTATGACTTTTCAGGTGGTTCTGTATCACCCACTGTTTCATCCTTTTATATACGGGCTTAAAATGAAAGAAATATCCAAACATCTCAAAAGTCTCTTGAGGATTAAGAAAACAGAACCAAACTAATATAATCCGTGTATCATTCGTTCATTCGTTTTTCAATATAAAACCAAAAATAAGAAAAACGAAAAAACAACAGTTTTCTTCGTTATTGTCTCCAAAACCAAAATGAAAAAACGGATAACGATTCGTTTTTTCAGTTTTCGATTTGTGTTTAAATGAAGAATGGAAAAAACATAACGGCCGTTTCCCGTTTACGTGACTTCCGTGACTGCGATGCCGAACTTTTGCACCGCGTACGGACTGAACTAGACTGACCCAGGTCCGAGACCAGACCGACCAGAGCGGGACTGAGACGGGACCAGACCGGGACCAGAGCGGGACTGAAACCGGGACCAGAGCGGGACCGAGACCGGGACTGAGTTCAGTAGCGCTCTGGTCCCGGTCTGGTCCCGGACCTGGTCATCTGAACCAAAAGCTCTTAGTTCGGTTCGTTTTCGTTGGGGTGAAAGCGTCAGTCAGAGGCTCTGCACCACCTCGGAATCAACCGCGGTTCTTGATCGCGGAGGACCAGAGCAGCTCGGTCTGGTCTCGGACCTGGATCCGTCCTGATTCAGTCCGTATGCGGTGAGACTGGGACCAGACCGGGACCAGAGCGGGCCTGAGACCGAGATCGAGACAAGACCAGGACCAGACCGGGACCAGACCGGAGGCTCAGAGCCCACGGCAGGACCGGAGCTCGAAGCTAGGCTCGGACCCCGTGGAGGCTCAGAGTCAAAGCTCGGAGTCCGGTCTGGTCCCGCTCTGGTCCCGCTCTGGTCCCGGTCTCAGTCCCGCTCTGGTCTCGGTCTGGTCTCGGACCTGGATCAGTCCCGGTTCAGTCCGTATGCGGTGCAAAAGTTCGGCATCGCAGTCACGGAAGTCACGTAAACGGGAAACGGCCGTTATCCGTTTTTTCCATTCTTCATTTAAACACAAAATCGAAAACAGAAAAAACGAATCGTTATCCGTTTTTTCATTTTGGTTTTGGAGACAAATAACGAAGAAAACTGTAATTTTTTCGTTTTCTTATTTTGGTTTATATTGAAAAAACACGAATGATACACGGATTTAATATGTATTGCTGGGTTTCAGATGATATCACAACATTCTGTAAGATTAAACCTGAAATGAATATTGTTAGAATGCACTTTTTTTAAAATGAGAAAAGTCACACTAATAGAAATGATCACGTTTACCTTTTGGATATTTCATGCTTAAGCACAATGTCATCAACAGGAAAAAATCTGTCTCTTGTTTGACACCACAACAATCTAGAATCTGAAAATCTAAAATCTATTTCAATGTTCAAAAACAATAAATAATACCACACAGTAATTTCGTATGATCTCTTTAAACTTTAAACCACTGTAATATTTAAAAGCTATTAAAATATTCAAACATATTTCAAGAGTTTATTATTGAATTTTTATGATTGTGGCTTACAGATAATGAAAAAAGTAATTCGTGTCTCAGAAAATTTGAATATTGGAAAGTCTTGGTGTCACATCCTAAACAGCTAATTCACTGAAAACACCTGTAAAGGTTTCCTGAGCCTTTAAATGGTCTCTCAGTGTGGGTCAGTAGGCTACACAATCATAGGGAAGACTGCGGACTGGACAAATGTCTGAAGACACTGATACTCTCCACATGGAGGGTAGGCCTCAAAAGGTCACTGCTAAAGAAGCTGTTGCTCACAGAGTGTTGTATCCAAACATTTATACAAACTTGAGTTGAAGAAAATACAGTTGTAGGAAAAGAAAGAATATGTGGGAACTTAATAAGAAGTGGGCTGAGACTGGGGTCAGCACCTCTGGGACATGAGATGATGTCAGAAGAGTCTGACCTGGGCTGTGGGGAAAAAAGAACTGGACTGTTGCTCAGTGGTGCAAAGTCCTCTTTTCAGATGAAAGTCAATTTTGCACATCTTTTGGAAATCAAAGTCCCAAAGTCTGGTGGAAGAGTTGCTTGAAGTCCAATGTGAAGTTTCCACGGTCAGTGACGATTTGGACTGCCATGTTGGTCCACTGTGTTTTTTTAACTCCACAGTCAACACAGTCAATGCGACACTGAATTTTGTGGAGAGGCACTGAATCCACATTGCTTGAAGACCGTAACCATGAAGTTTCCACAGTCAGTGACGATTTGGGCCATATCATCTGCTGGTGTTAGACCACTCTGTTTTTTGAACTCCAAAATCAACGCAGTCAATGCGACACTGAATTTTGTTTTTTCATTATCTGTATGCCACAATAAACAAACATTCAAGAAATAAACTCAAGAAATAAATATTGTGTCATGAGTCTATAAAATATATGGATTTAACTTTCTGAAACGAGTGCAAACAATATTGAACCATTTCATGATATTCTAATTATTTACGATGGACTAGTATATAGATCACATTTGATTGGTAATTATTTGCTGTTAAAGTCACTTTTTCCAGAAATATAGGTTAGGACAACTGTAACACTATTTCATTTTAAAGGTCCTTTGTTAGTCTTTTAGTCTTGAGAGGTCAGCACCTCTGGGACATGAGATGGTGTCAGAATAGTCTGACCTGGGATGTGGGGAAAAAGAACTGGACTGTTGCTCAGTGGTTCAAAGTCCTCTTTTCAGATGAAAGAATATTTTGCATATCTTTTGGGAAAAGTCCTATATTAGTCTTTTAGTCTTGTGAGCTTTAAGCCATGTTAGAATGTTATTACCTCCTCCAAAAACATACCTGGAGTTCTTTTCTGTTTTATTCGCACATGTTTGAGTTATCTGAATGATTCTGGTGAAGGTGTATGGAGTTTAAAAACAGAGTGGAGTACTTACTGTATTACTGCATGACATCACAAGAGTTTAAATACACAGGGTTTGTGTGTTAAACATGTGAATGAAACGAAACACAACTCCAGGTCTGTTTTGACAAGGAAACATTATACATAAGGACATGTACTTTTATTGCTTATATTAGTTCAGGAAAACATATTTACTTCATGTAAAAGCTGTATAATGTAAAAAGAACTATCATTGCCTCTGTTTTTAAAATAGGCCTTTTGTTGTATGAGAAGCACACAGAAGCAGTCACAAGAGGCAGACAGTTTTATCCATTCAGAGACTTTTCTGTGTGCAAACAACTCTGTGATTCTTCAAGACATTTGTTTCTCTATATTGGGAATAAGTTATGTTTCTATGCAAATCTCAATTTTAATTCACAGAACCATTGAAAACAGTGGATAAACTGTACTGCACTGGACAATTCAACTCAAATCATCCCAATAAAACATACTTATTTTTGGTTTCTTTTACTTGTTAAGGTTATATTGACTTCATATAATTTGTATCTAAACTGTAAAGCATTCTGAGAAGCATCAATCAGTACTTATATAGAGAAATATGGAGAAACCAGAGTAAAAAACATAACTTAATTTAATTTCATGTGGCCTTTAATATGTATTCCACGTTGACTTTTGTAAATTACAGATATTCTGTGTAATTTTTCTGCTGAGTACATGACACGCAGGTGATGTACAATCAGCATTGAAAAATTACACAGAATATCTAATATTATATTATATTATAACATCTTTCTCTGCATTTGACTCATCCTACAAGCAAGTGTTGCTAAGGAAACCAGTAGGAAGCAGAAGGAGTCACTTTTAAATATTAATCAGTCAGACAATGTACACTAATACTACACATCGCTTAGAGTAGGTTAAAGTTCAGTATCAACAGAGGCTTAAGCAGGGGAAAGGCAGGAAATAGGCATGTGGGATTTTGGGTTTTTTGGGGGTTATTTTGAGTAAACCTTTAAGTCTCTATTGTTCTTGTAATTGAGTATTTTTCTAGTTATGTAACTGTAAATTACTATATTGAAAATCATGAATATAAAATGGTCTTAAATGCTGTTAAATTTCATCAAAAAGTAAGTACACAGTAGACATTTTTGAGTACACATTTTTAGCACTCTTCACCACTGTGATTGGGCATGTTTTGGGTTGAAGGGGGAAACAAGTTTGCCCAAAGGAAACCACCCAGACACACATGAAGAACATGTAACCTCCACACAGAAAAGCCCGGTGTTCAGTAGAGTTGATGATGAAGTGATCTACTCACTGAGCACATCAAATCAACAAACTGTCACTGAGATTTTTATTCATTACAAGATAAATCTTCATGTTGGGATAATCTCGACTTTCAAATAAACAGTCAAATTTAGGCTATATTTCTAAGCAAATGTTTTTTTTCCCTCATAGGTTGGGTTATTGTGGCGGATTAGTTGTCCTGGTTTATGAGTAACATCTCTGTAAACACTGGGCCTATCAACATGAAACAAAAATTATCACAAATTCTAATGTATTTTCTGTCAACACAAACTGTCATGATTTTAAATCATTAATTTGTCTAACCCAATCACCAACAAAACACATGAAGGTTCAACCTTTCTGAGTAGTAGTAGTAGCAGAGTAAGCAAAACTTAAAACAATCAATCATCAGGCTACAAAACAATATCAACATATCAAAGTAGAAATGTAAAGACTCTTTATTTCAAAATTAATTTCACAAATTTTCAAGACTTACAATTAAGTTTAAAAAAAAAAAAGTTGCAATTGTTAACAATTCAAATTAAAAAAAAAAAAAAAATCAATAAAATAAAAATATATCCTCCAAAAAGTCCTTCAAAACTGTGAAAAATCATGTTATTGAAATTCGCAACTAACAATTTAAAAAACTTTAGTTTTGTTTTCTAAATGAACATAGCAGCTTTTTGATGTGCCTGTTGATTTCCTTCATTTTGAGCCCATAAATGATTGGGTTGAACAACGGATGGTACATTATCACTTGCAGTGTCACTATGAAACGAATTGTTTTAGTAGATTCAGTTTCAATTCGCAACAAAAGAACATCGTAAGCACTAAAAACTGTAAAATTGATCAAAATTACCAGATGGGGCAGACAGGTCTCGATCGCCTTCCTTTTCATTTCATTGGAACGTCTTGCGATGAAAAATATCTTTGAATACGTAAAAAGTATAAAAAGAGCCGGTAAAATGACCAGATTGACAAAGACCACAAGCCCGTAGATGGTTAGTGCTGTTGAACTGGAGCAGTACAGTTTGTAAACGGTGCTATTACATATAATTCCCTTAAAAACAAAATTACATATCTTTTTCTTTGCATTCAAACACAATGGAACAATAGTCTGGCAAATCGGAAACAGCCACGCAAACGCAACAAAAACTATTATGTTGGTTCTTCTCATTATATTTGCGTATCTGAGTGGTTTACATATAGAAACATACCTGTCATACGCCATAGCTGTCAGGAGCATGAATTCAGAACCTCCTAAATTGTAATACGTAAACCATTGGAAAAGGCAGCCTGCATAAGAAACTATCTGTGTTTCAGACACAAAGTCGATCAGAAGTTTGGGGTAGATTGTGGTGCTATAGATGATAGAATTCACAGACAAAGCAGCAATGAAAATGTACATTGGTTCGTGGAGGTTTGGGTGAATCCATATAAGATACACAATAAGGCTATTACTGAACACAATTAGTGTAAAAGCTGTAAACATAATGACAAAGTAAAGACTGCCATACTTCTGCACCTCTACATAACCATCTACAGTAATATATGGAGCACTAGACCTGTTCTCCATTGAGGTTACAACTTCTTGTTTGAGACTCCAAAATGAAATTCCATAATTTTATACATGTTCCAGCCTTTAGGGATTACAATGCAAACTCCTGGCAACTTGCAGTTACATCATGCTGGGGCGTTGTACATGTGTCTCTAATGCAGTGTTTAGGAGTTACCATGGTGGCACGTTGCACTCAAAAAAGTTTTGAGTTTTGAGAAACTCAAGAAAAAATACAAACTCATGACCATAGGTGAGGGTAGGAACGCAGATTGACCGGTAAATTGAGAGCTTTACTTTTCAGCTCAGCTCCTTCTTCACGACAATGGTCCAATACAGCGACCGCATCACAGCAGACACTGCACACTAGTAATGACCGAAAGGACGAGATCGCGGATACAAGCGGTCGAAATGAGTTTTCTCCCGAGGGTGGCTGAGCGCTCCCTTAGAGATAGGGTGAGGAGCTCAGTCACACTGGAGGAGCTCAAAGTAGAGCTGCTGCTCCTCCACGTCGAGAGAAGCAGCTGAGGTGGTTCAGGCATCTGTTCTGGATGGCTCCTGGGCACCTCCATTGGGAGGTGTTCTTGGCATGTCCCACCGGGAGGAGGCCTGGACACGCTGGAGGGACTATATGTCTCTTGGTTGGCCTGGGAATGCCTTCGGATCCCCCCGGAAGAGTTGAAGGAAGTGTCTGGAGTGAGGGAAGTCTGGGAGTCCGTGCTTAGACTGCAACCCGGCCGCGAATAAGAGGAAGAAAATTGATGGAAGAAAAAATAAGGATTTAAACTACACATTTTCAGGAGCTTGTGATCAATATGAGTGTTCATGGTCCAGTTTAGATTTTTTATTTTTAACTAAAATGGTGAGTGTGAGTGACTGAAAAACTGTTGGTTGAGGCCAGCTCACTTGTGACTGTAATCTTATGTGTAAGACACTTGCTAAACAGCACAAATGAACTCGCCTGTTATAATTCCAGTTAAAGCTCAGTCAGTTCTTTATGGCCAGATTGTGTTAAAATAAAGCACAGATTAAAGTCTAATAAAGCTTCCGACAAATCAGAGTCTACAGTTAGTATCAATTAATCATTTATAGCAAAATATAAAATCTTTTAAATGATGGAAGTCCTCAAAATGGCCTCTGTGAACAGGAAGCTGAACTCAGTCTAAATATGTAGGGTTTGTATGTTAAACATGTGAATGAAACAAAACACAACTCCAGGTTTGTTTTGGCGAGGAAATAACATGTACCTTTATTTCTTAGTTCAGGAAAACATATTCACTCCATGTAAAAGCTGTATAATGTAAAGAACTATCACTACCTCTGTTTTTAAAATAGGCTTTATGTTGTATGAGAAGCACACAGAAGCAACCACAAGAGACAGACAACTGTATCCATTCAGAGACTTTTTTGTGTGCAAGCAACTCTCTGATTTTTCTGGACATTTGTTTCTCTATATTGGGAATAAGTTATGTTCTATGCAAATCTCAATTTTAATTCATGGCACCATTGAAAACAGAGGAAAAACAGATGATCACCCGCACTACTGCACTGAACAATTTAACTCACATTCAAGGGAAAATTGACTGAGTTACTTCACAATAAAACATACTTATTTTTGGTTTCTTGTACTTATTAAGGTTATGTTAACTCCATATGATTTGAATCTAATCTGTAAACCCTTCAGAGAAGCATCAATGTCCGTACATATGCAGAAAAATATGGCAAAATTACTGTACACACATTTTCCAGATTCACAATTTAGTTGAAAAAAACAAAAAAACAAAACAAAAACAAAAATGTTACAACAGTAGTTACCAAAAATGTTCAATAAAAGAAAAATATTTCCATCAAAGTCCTTCAAAACAGTAAAAAAAAAAATCATGTTACTGAAACCCACAACTAACAATTTAAAAATCCACTTTCAACTTTATTTTTGTTTTCTACAGCAGCTTTTTGATGTGCCCGTTAATTTCCTTCATTTTGAGCCCGTAAATGATTGGGTTGAACAATGGATGGTACATTATCACTTGTAGAGTCACTATGAACCGAACTGTTTTTGTAGATTCAGTTTCAATTTGCAGTAAAAGAACATCGTAAGCACTAAAAACTGTAAAATTGATCAAAATTACCAGATGGGGCAGACAGGTCGCGATCGCCTTCCTTCTCATCTCATTGGAACGTCTTGCGATGAAAAATATCTTTAAAAAGTATTTTAAAAAATGGTAAAATGACCATATTGGCAAAAACTACCAGCCCGTAGATGGTTAGTGCTGTTGAACTGACGCAGTACAGTTTGTAAACAGTGCTATTGCAGATAATTCCCTTAAAAACAAAATTGCATATCTTTTTCTTTACATTAAAATAAAACGGAGGAATAGCCAAACAGATTGGAAAGATCCACGCAAGCCTTTAGGGATTACAATGCAAACTCCTGGCAACTTGCAGTGACATCATGCTGGGACCTCTACATGTGTCTCTAATGGTGCAATGTTTAGGAGTTACCATGGTGGGCATGGTTGGCATGTTGCACTCAAAAAAGTTTTGAGTTTTGAGAAACTCGAGAAAAAAAGCTCATGGCCATAGATGACCAATAATTCGAGAGCTTTGTCTTCCAGCTCAGCTCCCTCTTCACCACAACAGTCCAATACAGCGACTGCATCATCGCTTAAACTCAAATCGGCCATTTGTGACCACTGTAAAAGAGAGAACCACATTATAGACTGGGACAGAGTGAACATCAGTGGGACAGAGGACAACAAACATTGTTTAGTACCCCTCCCAGGGACTCCAAGAAGGCCGGGCACTCTGCACTGCTGTTCAGCCTGTAGACTGACACAACAGTGAGAGACCTGCCCCCAACCCAAAGGCACAGGGACGCGACCCTCTCATTCACTGGGGTGAACTCCAAATGTGGCGGTGTAACGTAGGTTGACCGTGAGCGGCTTGGGGTTCAGTGAGCAAGGTAAAAACCAAAATCCAGACACAGACAGGTAGTTGTGGTCCACGGTTTACTTTTGTGTTCTTCAATGATTACAAAAGTGCAAGTGCAAAAGTGCAGGGTGCAAAATGGAGGCAGGCAGCAGTTTCCTCTCCAGCAGCAGAACACAGACTGATCTTTGAAGGCGCCTTTTATGCCGGTCCTACTGATTGGATAAAACCACTATGCTAAAACAGGGATGGTTAAAATTATCATTAGCATAAAATTAAAACCTAAACCTCCATAAAACAACCCAAAACCCAGATAACTATTAAAACCACCAACTATATACATAAAACCCTAAAACCATTACACCAATTAAATGTTAAAACCCATAAACCAATAAAACACCTAACCTAAAACCCCTGTACAAAATGTTACACGTGGTCCAGCCCGGAACCATAAAAGAGGGAGCTCGTTTCCAGGGGACTCTTTTCACACCTGGACAGAAGATAAAAAGGGGAGGTAAGTAAAAGCAGATCCACCATTCATTAAAACACAATAAAATACACTAAACACATCAACACTTAAAACATTCTAAAACAGATATTGCACCATATTTATTGCACAAAGTCAATTTAAAATGTAATTTATTATTGTCTCCCTTTTCCTCCAGGGACAAGCAACTTCCAATTAAAGTGCTGTGCCTCAGGAATAAAAAATGGTTAAAGGAAAGCCAATAAATATTTTTTTAAAACCAATTGTGTGCAATTTATTTTGTGATGTGCAAATATGTTAAAAGTGCTGTGTGCAAGGAAAGTGCAGTGTTTTAAAGTGCTCTAGTGAAGGGTGAAGGTGCTAAGTGTGGTTTGGGGTAACAAACCAGCCTGTTTGTTACAGGCGGCTGATCTGTGGGGCACTGAGCAGACCCACACCAGCTCGCCTCCACTCCCTGCAGGCAACTTTAGAGAATGGAGAGTCCAGCCCCCTCAAGGAGCTGGGTTCCAGAGCCCAAGCTGTGCGTGAAAGTGAGGCCGACTATATCTAGTTGATAATGCTCAACCTTCCACACAAGCTCAGGCTCCTTCTCCTCCAACCTGGTGACAGTCCATGTCCCCAGAGCCAGTTTCCATGTCCAGAGATCCAGTGCCAACCGGACCCCTTATGGATCATCCTGTGGGTGGTGGGTCCACGAGAGGACGACTCCACGTCGCTCCTTCAGACTGTGCCCGGCCGTGCCCCATGGGGGAATGCCCAGCCACTAGACGTTGATGTGGAGCCCCCATTCCAGGTCTAGCTCCAGGATGAGGCCCTGGGAACACCAGTCCATGCGACGTAACTGGCCTCATTCTTGTACTCATCTGAACCGCTCTTAGTCTAACCCATCCCCCAAGACCTGTTTGCCTTGGGTGATTCTAACAGGGGCATGAAGCCCCCAACAACATAGCTCCCCAAATCATTTGGGCACTCAAACCTCTCAACCACATTAAGGTGACGGTTCAAGGAATTATTAACCAAAAACACAGTGTATCAGAAGTTCACATGCCAATTTAGCTGTGTCTTTAAAATGAATGTTTTATAATCACAATATCAGTCTGCCCCAGGACAGCTGTGGCTACAACAGTAGCTTACCACCACTGAGTTTGGAGTGAGTGAACAATAAAGTGTGAAGTGCTTTGGGTGTCTTGAAAGGTGCTCTACAACTACAATAATTAAATTCATTAATATCCTTATGAATGATCAATGAAGCAGCAGAATCTATTAATAATAAATAATGGACACATTTTTATTTTAAATACATGCAAATAGCCAATGAAACACATAAATAGTAAATAGTTTTCACTTAAGGTTGCGTCTGTAAAACATACATTCAGTTAATGATAGTTTAACTGCTCATACAAATATCATACCATATAAAAGCAATGCATGATTCTCCTTTTTATAACTACACAATGATTATTTTTCTAAAACTAGACTTTCATTGTGACCTCCCTTCTTAAAAAAAAAAAAAAAAAAAAAAAAAGGCCAAAAAGCTTATCTGAATGGGTGCTAATAAAATATGTGCACATACTTAGGATATTTTTTTTTCTTAAAATGTTCTGCTTCCTGCTGTCTGCATCTAATGACAAAACATTTTATTGTCCAATAATCAGGAAGTGCATATTAGCATGCAAGTTATTGTTAGTTTTACCATTACAGCAAAATTGCTCGGGCCTTTTAAAAGTTATGAAAAGCACTTATAAACTTGTGAATAATTTGGATGGTCAGAATGCAAAAGGAAAATGAGGAACAGCTTTGGGACACTGCAAATAGTTTCAAATGATCTAGATCAGATTTTTAAAAAGTTTTTAAAACAGTAAAAATCAGGTACAGTGACCAAAAGTACTGGACAATATAAAACAGTTACCTACAAATAAATAGTGAAAAATGCAGAAACAATTTTATCATTATTAGTTGACCATTAACGGACAAAGCAACTTCTTTATGTATTTGGAGATCTCCTTCATTTTGAGTCCATAAATGAGAGGGTTTAACAGAGGATGGTAGATAATCATTTGTAAAGACACAAAGAATCGCACTGGTTTGGGGAATTCCATTTCTATTCGCACTAAAAGAACATCGTAAGCGCTGAACACGGCAAAATTGATCATCACGACCAGATGGGGCATGCAGGTCTCAAACGCCTTCTTTCTCATCTCTTTGGAGCGTTTCACAATGTGAAATATCCTTGAATATGTATACAATATAAAGAGAACAGGCAAAATGACCACATTTGTAAAAATTATCATCCCAAAAATCGATAGTGCGGGCGAACTGACACAGAAGAGGCGATACACAGTGCTGTTACAAATGATTCCTCTGAAATGAAAAGTACATAGCTTCTTATTGTAATTAAAAGCATAAGGAAAAATGGTGTGACATACAGGAAAAAACCAAGCAAAACCTAAAAAAACACACATTTTGGAGTTTCGCATAATGATTAAATATTGCAAAGGCTTACAGATTGACACAAACCTATCGTAAGCCATAGAAGCCAACAGTAAGAACTCAGACCCAACTAAATTGTAATACGAAAACCACTGGAAGAGACACCCTTTATACGGAATGACCTGCTTCTCCGATAAAAGGTCGATCAAAAGTTTGGGGTAGACGGTTGAACTGAAGAGGAGAGAATTGAAAGACAGCGCGGAGATAAAGAAGTACATAGGCTCGTGGAGGTTTGGTTCTTTCCAGATGACGTACATGATCAGAGAGTTACTGCAAATGACTGAAATATAAACTACCAACATGATCACAAAATACAGAGGGCCATAAGTTTGCAAGTCAATGTAGCCTTCAACAGTAATGTATGCAGGGTCAGATCCGTTATCCATTGTTGTCTGAGAACCAATGGACAGAGAATACACAGAATTGAGTGATTTAAGCGCGCTGCCCTAACCTCTAAGGATCTCATTAATTCTCCAAGCAACATCTGTAAACATTTGACCACCTTTAAGACAACTTTTGCCCTCTGAATATTCCAATGTGAACAAAGTGTGTACACTATTTTCTGATCTATGTTATATTGTTGTTTCCTCATTAAAAAGCAGACCTGGAGTTGTGTTTAGTTTCATTCACACATTTAACACACAAACCCTGCATATCTGAGTTCTGGTCCATCTTGTGATGTCATGTGGTAATACAGGAAGTGCACTGTTTTTAAACTCCATGCACCATCAGTAGAGTCATTTGGATAATTCCAGCCCTGGAATTGCCCGTCTGTACTGAACTAAAGTTAAAATGTAGTTGTTAACTTGAAAACTCCCACTTCATTATATCACAAGATGAAGTAAGAGCATTTTGAGCTTTGGGGTTGTAGATAAACAAATAAAGAGTTTCTCAAACATGGGGGAATGAAACGAAACACACCTCCAGGTATGTTTTTGATGAGGTAGAAACATTCTAACATGGTTTATAGTTCACTGGAGTAAGATGCCGTCCACACGACAAAGTTTTTCTGTCAAAACTGAGAAGTTTCTATTCGTTTTGGCCTTTCGTATACACCAGCGTTTTGAAACAGGGTTCTAGAGTGGAGAAATCTGAGAACGCCGGCATCGCGTTGTCGTGTGGACAAGCAAACCGCAGCTTTTGGAAAACGATGACGTCACAATCCCATCATCACCAGGGTCCTCTGATGCAGCGAAGCCCGCAGCCCTCGAACTAGCCTCCGCCGACCGCAAGAGCGCCAATACTAACAACAAGCACCACACATTATGCACATGGATCAATAACAAATACTATGTTTACACTGAAGCGAATCCGCGTATCACAGTATCACCGTATCAGAAACGATCTGCGTCCAGACATGTCGTTTTTGTGTCCGCAAGCCTTCCCTATCCACACAGCTTTGTGCATTTGTTTACGTTTTACAGAAACAAAACTTAATACCACATGGCTAATTTGCATAAACTAAGCTCAAAAAACAGCTCACTATTGTGCACTGATGCGGTTCAGCTTCTGTCAGACTAAAGGACACGACTCAGTGGAATATATGGGTTATATGAATATAATATATAATATATACATCTAAAATAGGCTAAAATACCTTAAACTTTAAAAAACGGTGATGAGATCTGCATTATTAAACATATCATTATCATTGTTAACAGCTCCGCATACAGGTGTGGCAGATGTATTACATCGTTTTCACTCAGTGCTCCGTTGTTGTGTGGACGTGAATATTTACTGATTCGGCACGTGTGGGGACGTGACTTTTTTTCAACCCGCATTGAAAAAAATCCAGGAGCATTTTCGTGTGGACGTAGCCTAAATTAACAGTAATGTACAATCTTTTGTGCATTGTGCTAGCTGTAGACTACAACTATGCTGTTTAGTGGTGTCTTGCAACTTTTTTTGTAGTGGTGAGCCAAAGATACATATCTGTACAATAAAGTTTTAGATTCTGCACCACCCTGGCCCCCAAGACATACATCAGGGCTGCAATGTAAAGTCATGGGCAGAAGCAACGTAATTATGTCAAATTTTCTCAAAACTTCAGGCTTCCCATAGAACTCCATTGGGTTTGCTCTGACCCAGCGCAGTCAAAGGGCAAACACATGAATCAAAAAAGTGACCTAACCACATTTAACATGATAAAAATATGTCGATGCAGATCAATTTTAAACAAAATATGGAACATATTGTATTGCCTAGTACAAAACAGTGACTTTATTAGTTTTGATGTAGGTGAAGTTAGGGAGTGCGGCAGACTTGACCAGCCGCTACTGGATTTCTACAGTATCATCAGTGTCAAAAAAATTCTACACCTTTTTCTTTAGTCAACATTTATTGATTTGAATCAGTTCAGTATGAGAAAAACACATCAAATTGGATATTTGACCAAGCAACAGAAGACAGAAGTTTTATTAGGCACATAACCCCCTTGATGTTATTACTGGTTTTCACTAAATCAATGGTTCCCAAACTGTTTCGCACAAAATACCACTGATGAAGAAAAAAAGTGTGACGCCCCCTTTCTCAAGAAGCCTGGTGCTTGAAAACCACGTCTTAAAAGTCTTATACTACTCAAAATCTACTTAAAAATACACCACTTTGTGATGTCATAATGTGGTATTTTCAAGATTACAGCTACGCTTTACTTTTTATTTCATGTAGATTGAAATTTGGAAAAGGTATATGGAGTTTAAAAACACAATGGATGACTTCTTATATTACCACATGACATCACAAGGTGGAACAGAGTGTTTTCTGTTTGAGAGAAGAACTCAGCCTAAATATTCAGACTTTGTGTGTTAAACATGTGAATGAAACAAAACACAACTCCAGGTCTGTTTGTGATGAGGAGACAACATAACATAAATTAAAAAAATAGCGTAATATGGTCCATTTAATGACTATAATCTGTAAATCTAGGGTCTATTACAAATAATCTCTTATGTGCTGGTTTATTGTGCTTCTTTGTATCGTTAGACCTTGCAACACACTTCTACTGTTAGAACCTGTAACTATTGCTCAATCATTTTTACATTTTCCTTGGTAAATAGTCTTTTTAAATGCTTGGAGATTTCCTTCATTTTGAGCCCATATATGATGGGATTGACCAGCGGGTGATACAGCACCACTTGTAACGTCATGATCAGTCGAACAGTCTTTGGCATGTCAAATTCTAGCTTCACTGTGACCACATCGTAAGTCAACAAACAGGAAAAATTGATCAAAACGAACAGGTGAGGTAAGCATGTCTCTGCTGCCTTCTTCCTCACTTCTTTACAGCTTCTATAAGTGATCACAAATATTTTAGCGTACGTGAACAGCACGAAAAACATGGGCAAGATTGTAACATTGATCAGTACAACTACTCCATAGATAGACATTGCTCTAGATATAGTACAGTGCAGTTTGTAAATCAAATTATTACAAAATATTCCTTTAAAATTTAAGTCGCATAATTTGGTTTCGATGTTTGAAATAACGGGAACTGCTACCTGAGCAGTGGGTATGAGCCACGCCAAAATTAAAAGGCAAATGACTGTACTTTTTCTCATTATATTTGCATATTGCAAAGGTTTACATATCGACACATATCGATCATAGGCCATCACTGCCAGTAACACAAATTCAGAACAGCTGAAGGCGTAGTACAAGAAACACTGGAAAAGACAGGCAGAAATGGTTATAACCTGCTTTTCAGACAGAACATCGATCAACATTTTAGGGTAGATGACAGTGCTGAAGAGAATAGAGTTACACAGCAAAGCAGCGATGAAAATGTACATTGGTTCATGGAGGTTTTGGTGCATCCAAATGAGACATACAATAGTGCCATTACTGCAGATGATAACAATATAGACCAAAAACATTGTAAAGAAATACACATATTTATACTTTTCAACTTCCACATACCCACCAATAGTGACAATTGTAACATTTGGTTCAGAATTCATTTTGTAAGATCTAGTCAAGTGTTAGAAAAGAAAGAAAGCAACTGGAAAATAGAAAATGTGATTAAAAAGTCATTTTATCCGTTCTCTGTATGAGATTATGTAAGTCTATGTAATGGTACAGTAAAGACGTACAGCCGGTCTTTAAGCCCCATAATGCTCCTGCAAGTCATTGGTCCACTGATGAAGCTCCTTTTATATCTATGGCTCAATCTTATGGGACAGTCACATACGTCATGGCAATAAACCGTTTTCACAGATGTGCTACAGATGTTCACAAATTACATGTGTAGCATTTAAACTGCACAAATTTCTCTGTCTATGACAATATCTACATCATGAAATCGATTTTTTATTTTAATTCTAGAATCAGTCTGAGTTAACAAGTTACTTATTAATGAATTACTTATTACTTATGTTTTATTTCATGTCCATAACGGTCGTTTTGCTCAGGAGTAGTTCACCAATCCTAGTCGTTGTTCACCTTTAAATTTTCATCTTCCTTACCTTGATAGTTGAAGAATAAATTCTTCACGGACACAATATGTCCTTTGTCGACCTTGTTGATTGAAGATTTGGTGATGGTGCAGATTTATGAAGCTGGTGGAAAAAGCGCGAGACATTTCTGCAGATATTTTACCGTAGAAAAGCTTTAACAGCAGGAGTTACGTTTACCCTACATCACGACACGTCCGGCCATTGTGAAAAACGTCTATAGGCCAGAGAAACACGGCTAAGGACCAGAGTGGGTCTTTTTTATTTATTTATTTTTTAAAGGGATAAAAATGTTATTCCATTTATAATCTTATAACAAGATTATAAATGGAACATAGCACTGTGGTAAAAAAGTAAAAAAGACAAAGCAAAAAAATCAGCTGGGAAGTTGCTGGTTTGGATCCAGAAGTGGCATCACATTTTTTCTCTTTTTTAAAGCAACAACACATGTCACTGTTAAAAGTGATTAGAATTAGAGTTGTTTAACGCTAACAAGGTTATAAGTGTGACCAAAAGTGCACAAGCTAGGCTATGCTAGCATTAGCTGACAGCTCTTAGGCCCCGTTTACACTCAAACAAATCTGTGTTTATCACCATATCACCATATCGGAAACAATCTGCATCCACACACGTCGTTTCTGTATCCGCAAAGTCTTCCCTGTCCACACAGTAATGCAAAACCGCCTGAAACGCTAGTCACGTGATAGGCTGGTGTCATGTCGTCCCAACATCATGTGAGCGGTAAAAATAAGCAAGTCTGAAGTTGCAGCAGCTGATTTTGAGCCGAGGGAGATGGCAAGTGTGTCTTTTCATGGACCGACGACTAGGTTCAGTTGTTACTTAGCGTAACACTGGATTTTAAGACGAGCATGGCGGCTCAGAGTGACGACTGACTTGTTTCTGTGTCTGCAAGCCTTCCCTATCCACACAACTTTGAGCATATTTGTTTACAGTTTACAGAAACAAAACTTAAAACTGCATGGCACATTTGCATAAACTAAGTGCTCAAAAACAGCTCATTATTGTGCGCTGATGCGGTTCAGATTCTGTTGGACTAAAGGAAACGACTCAGTGGAATATGAGTGTTCTTTCTGTGACAGAGGGGGGTTCTGCTGATGGTGAGTCTGTTCTGTTCTTCTATTCTATCACAAACTACATCTATTTGGCTGACAGGGCACCTACAGTTTCCAAAAAGGTCAGATTTTGTGGCGATTTTTACCTATTTTTAGATCAGAAACGTTTTCTCAGTACAAAATCCTTCAGTTGTCTTAAATACAGCTTTTTAATCATTAGCTCCAGCTCTGCTCCCTCTAGCTCCTCTCACTCTGATTGGTTAAAGTGATCACATGTCACATGACTACACTACTGCATGCACTACTGCGCATGTTCAATGGGCAGGGAGCCGCCGGAAGTACCTAGCCCTTAAGCTCGTCCCACTGACTTGAATCGGCGGCCATGTTTTGACCCCGGGACTTGAGGCTATATACTGTATCACTAACTGCCCATCACAGCTAATGTTAGACAAGTTTATACACTTTTTGTCTGCAGGCTGACCCCGTGCACGTGCATACATAGGCTATTTGATACAATTTGTGTTTCTGAAGCTATTGTGAACAGAGTATTTATTATGTGTTTTTGTTGGACTTTGTGCCAGTTTTTGTTTCATGTGGATAGGCCTGGTAAGTACAGAGAGATGAACCATAAACCAGGTCAATAAATCTGCAATCTGACAGTTAAACAGCAAACTCTACCTGAGAATTCTGACCTGTTCTGCAGCTCAGTTTTCATCTATGGGGATTCTAAAAAGTTGTGATGCCACGTGAATGCAACTTACTGCTCTATTGTTGTCACCATTACGGTAATCTATAAACAAAAGTTACGAGGTTAAAACTGACCTTATTGACCTCTTCTCTTAGGTCTGTGGGTTACAACTATGACAAACACAGTAAACAGAGAGCACTGGACTCCTGGAGACTCCTCTGAGGACGGGCCCTCGGGAGATGGGACAGAGTGATTAGTCTCAGGAGGACAATTATCGTGTTATTCTTCTCTTTCATCATCTTATTTTTAATATGACCATCAGCTTAATGGCCTTTTCATGAGAGCCAAGAGTCCACAGGAACTGAACTGAAAGTTTTCAACTCACAATGGCTAGTTCAAACTAAAGGCATACTTTTAGTACTGATCCTCCAGAAGCAGGTCCATGTTCTGATGTTCTGGCAAAGGCAGGGATTTAAAAGAAGGCTTTGTACTTGAGTTTTATTTTCTTAAAAATGTGAAAAACAGAAGTAGTTAATTTTAAACAGTTTGCAGTGGTCCAAAGTTATTCCTCACATATGCATTCCAAGCATCTTATTATTATTTTTTTTTTACCATGATGAGTTTATAAACAGTTTTCACAACTCTCAGAGACCAGAGCAGGTTTTGCTGTAGTCTCTGAGAGTCTGAGAGTTTTATTTATAGTTAGATGTAGAAAGCACAGCAGACATATTTTAACTTCAAGATCTGCTTATCCAAAATATCCATACAGGGATCAAACGTTCTGCTCAAAAACACGAAAAAAAAAGTCAAAGAGCTGGCTTCATATGTGAAAGGTTCTAAAATACAGCAAAAAACTTCTGCTCTTTTGTCGCTTCTAGAGCTGGTCTTATTGAAATATTTAGTTACATTTTACTGTGATCACAGAAAAGAGCTGGTGGCCGACCAATCACATTGCAGCATTACGGTTTGTGCAGAGGCCAAAGGAGCCAAAACAAACATGGTGATGTCGACAAATGTACTTCAGCCTACTTTAGCGTCAATACAGGTTATTTAGTTTGTAAAAATTGTGCAGAAGGTGAGCACTTTGTACATTTGTGGAAGGTCTGTGATTTTCTCTCAGCTGGATGTAACAAAAGTTAGATTTTTCACCCTGCTCCGCTATTGTCATGTTTCAACCAATCAGACTGAAATACTCCTCATGATGCTTTGCGTTTTTCGATCTCTTTCAGCGAAAGTCATTCAGGTTAATGTGTAGAACTCAATTCAGAGTGACAAATACATCAATCTGAGTGAGCCACGTTAGGATAGGAGCATTACATAGCGTTTTTTGTGCTGCTCATTAACCTGATGTGCAGTACATGCTCCAGCAGAGCGGAGCAAACTTGATTCTTTTATCGTAAGTTTATCTTAAGTCGTTTTCGAACAATATTGCCATTTTAGATTCTAACATCTTTGCATCAAGTCTTTTGCTCTTGGTTTGATTCACAAATGACTTTTTAATATAAAATCTAAAAAATTATGTTATTGATTATTATTATTTTTAATATTATTAACTAGTAAATAAATAAATATAGTGTCAATAATCTAAACTAAATATCCCAACATTTATTTCTAAAGTCTTTCTGTGCTGAAACACTGCAGTATGGTTGCATGATTGGGCAGCATTTGTGTACATCTTTGCATCTTTGTGGGTTGGACTTCAGACCTTCTTGTGCTCCTCTGTTTATAGGGAAACAATATATAAGAGTTGACTTGCTTAAATAGGTCAGTGTCTTGAGCTTCTCAACAATAATTCATTTGATTTAAAAACAGGTTTTCTTATTTGTTCACTTTTCCTTTGTTTAAAAGAAATGAAAGGGAACTTTAGCCAAAATCCTGCCTATTTCCAACTAACACTTTTTGGAGATTATGGACGTCTTCGATATTTGTTTTTTACACTTTGTTTGTTGATCTACATGACGATAATCTCTGCTAACATGGTCATTATACTCACTATTTTATTAGAGAAGTCTTTGCACCAGCCAATGTATGTCTTTATCTGCTGTTTGTCTGTGAACTCTCTGTACGGCTCTGCTGGATTCTTCCCCAGGTTTCTGGCTGATCTTTTGTCTGATTCTCATTTTGTCTCACGACCATACTGCTTTATTCAGATATATGTCATTTACATGTACGCTTCTTGTGAGTTTACAATACTTGGAATCATGGCTTACGACAGGTTTGTGGCCATCTGTCAGCCGCTGCATTATCACACTAAAATGACCATAAGGAAAGCACTGACTTTGTGGGGAGTTGGTGTTTTTTATCCTGCTTGTGCAATAGGTTATGGCGTTGCTCTGAGTGTTCAGTTACCTCTGTGTGGAAATAAACTGCCCAGGATTTTCTGCTCAAACTGGCCTGTGGTTAAAAACTCTTGTGTTGACACAACACATAACAATGTAGTGGGTCAGTTTGTGACTGTAACTACCATCTTTATCCCTCTGCTGTTTGTGCTCTTCTCATATGTGCGGATTCTCATCGTGTGCAAAAGAGGCAGCGCTGAACTGAGAGGCAAAGCTCTGCAAACCTGTCTTCCACATTTAGTGACGTTTGTCACATATTCTGTGTCTGTTTTTCTGGAGTTGTCACTGACACGATTTGACAAAATTAACCCAATAGTCACAGCTGTTTTATCTTTGGAGTATCTAATGGTGCCGTCCATTAACAACCCTCTCATCTACGGACTCAAGCTGCCACAGATCAGAACAGCC